GGTCTCATTTAAAAACCATCCTTCATATTCCAGCTTTAAACGGGCATTTCTCATTTTGCTTTCTCCGTGCTCTCACCCTCCACCCCCTGTGGCAGCACAACAGCCCCAGGAGAGTTGAGCTGAGGAGGTCAGAGAGCAGCTCAGCAGTTCAGTGGGAGCATGGACAGTCCCACGCCATAGGCAGTCCGAGTGCTGTGTGAATCCAGAGGGTAAAGAGGTGAATATATGGAACTCCACCCCAAAGGTGGGAAATCAAAGCATGGCACACACAGGGCAAATAGGGAAGATGCCAATCCCCGCTTTTCCTAGCTTTCTGCTCCCTTAGAGAATCACACAAGTACAAAACCATGAAAACAATAACCCCAGCTGCAAAGGCAATGAAGCAATTTGTTAAGGAGATGACATTTTTAATGAGAAACACTTGCTGGAGGAGAACAAAAGGCCCTGTTTGGTCAGAGAGATGCTCTTGATACTCTTCTGAAGTGCATGAAAAAGTAATTTCATTTAAGCGTCATACACAGAGCAGCTGAATTTCCTGGGGCTCCAGATGTTGTCCTGTGCAGATGCTGAACAAATGGAACTCTGTCTTGATGAAATGAAAAGAAAAAAGCAGGGCTCCCTAAACCAAAACCCATGCACCAGAGTATTTCACATCTTAAAAGAAGAAAGAAAAGAAGAGAGAGAAAGCCATGCAAATTGAGGAGAAAGGAAGTTCTTGAAAGCAGCAATGTTGGACATAGGATAAACTGTTCTTAATTGCCCTACAGATAATTGAAGGAGACGAGAATCTGGATTTGCAAAATACCAAGTTCTGGCTCTGTCGTCTCTTTTTCTTGGCTTTGCACTGTTTCGCTTTGACAGTTATCTGGCTGTGATTACACTGGTTTGGTTTTTTTTCCTAGGAAGGGACAGATTCTGCACACTTTTATTAGGCCAGAAGTTACTGGAACTTTCCTGGGGTGAGCGGTGGACTCAGATTCAACAACTGAAAAACTATAATCAGTAGTTCACTGTATTGCTCACAAGGTAAAAACACAAGCCTGCTTCCTAACTTGAGATTATACAACTTTACTTCCTGAATTCTAGGGAGGACAAGGGGTTTAGTTCCTCAGTGGTAAAAGCTTTTGAAATAAGAGATCAAACCAAGATCAGCTCTCATATTAATGAAGACTAATGAAATATAATGACCTCAATATTCAGATACTTCATTCCTGAACTTTGGGATGGGTGACAGAAGTAGCTATAAATGATTACTAGGCTTTATGAGCCAAACAGGACCTATACAGATTCTGATGTAAATCAGAATAGCCTTAGGCCTGCTCGCTTGTGCTCTAATTTTTTTTTTCTGCCCTTTTAGGCTCTGAAAAATGGAGACTATTCACTCTTTCTCCTAAAGCACAAATCTCCTTCTGACACAACATTATCCTTTTGCTAAGTGGTAGCAGATGACAGAATCTGAAGCACTGCACGAACATGAGAGCATTCCTACCTCTTACACAGGGCCCCTTCCCAAGAAGCACGGCTGTCAGACAACTCTGCCTGTGAAAAAATGGTAATAAAAGCCAGGTTTGTGATGCTGGTCCATCAGCAGGTGGTACTGTGTAGTCAGTTTATAGTGAACAAAGTGAGAATGACATTGTTTTAAAGTGGAATTCAAAATAGGTGGTTAGCGTCACATCTGACACGAACCCTATGGGCAAAGCTGAACAACTGACACACCAGAGCACACACTAAACAAGGAGGAAGCAAGCCAGTGTGTGTGCTAAGTAGATCAAAATAAGAATAGAGCTAAAACCGTTAAAAACAGCAATTCATGCAAGTTATGAGAAAGTGGGGAATGAGCTTTTGTTTCTCTTGGTTGAGAGGTAGACATAACACCAGGCAGAGAGCAGCTGCCTTCCACCACAGACAGAAGATGCTTCTAGTATAGTCACACCAGCCAGAGAGAAGTGCTCTCAGAGTTTAGACAAGAAAGCGGATTAAAGGACTGAGAAAGAACATTCCTAACTAATTTCTTCTAAAAGAAATCCAACACAGGTCAAAAGAGCTACTTTTGTCCAAACTCAGTCAAACCTGATTCCTAGATGACTAATGTAAGCATCAGCAAGCCAGGTAGCAGCCATGGTGCTCGTGGCTCACAGAGGAGCATTGTGCTTTGGAGAAACCTGCTTGAAGCAATTCAATAAAAATGAATTGACCTTAGGATGGAAAAAAAAAATGGATTTTATAGAATTATTGGGTGTGATCTAATGACTGTACTGAATAAGCCAAATTCCAACAATAGGTAATGCTTTTAAGCATGTTGCCAGGTTTTGTTTCATACATATGTTGCCAAAATAATCCCTTTGCCTACATAGAAGGTAGTCAGTGAAACTTAACTTCTGGTAAGCACTTATGAGAGGTTTCTACAAGCAAGCAATCTTTTAATTTATATTCTAAAGAGGTTTTGCATTAAGGCCTTCCCCCACCACCAATCACCAGTATACTGACAATCTTCAAGTCTTGATTACTAATGAGGAGAAAAATCAGTGGGGTAGAGAGAAACTAAACATAAATAAGATTCTTTGTGCTCATTTTTCCCCTGAGAATACCCTACAGCAGAGCATGCTCGAGCCATGTGGTATACAGGAGGTTTAAGCTGACAGAGTTTAACTACAAGGGCTTTGGTGAAGAGAACACTTGCATTTCCAAACCAAATACTGCTGCATGAGCTATCATAAAGGAGAGAAACAGGAAGTGGTGCTGAGGGACAGAGGACTTGAGGGCATTAACAGAGCCAGGTGGGCAACACAGCATATCTTTAAGGATGAGCATGTTTTTAAGGATAACACTATTCCAGAGCAAATGCTGTTAAATCCTGCTCCTGGGACTAAGTAATGCAGAAATCTCACTGCAACCCCATGTTGCCTCCCTTCTGCGTCATTTTCCCCAGCAATCCAAGGATCATCTGCATGGCAGATGCTAAGTCTTCATCTGACAGAAAAGCCAGTGGAGATGGGCTGTGTTGAAGCACACCAACTGCCAGGTACCATTTGATGCTCACTCAGTAGTGCTGCAAAGGGAAGCTAGCATAGGGCACCGAGAGGGAAGGTACTATCTCCTTGTGCATCTCTAAGCAATGGGCAGCCAGATAAACTTGTGGTAGTAAGCAGCATCCATGGTATCATTAGAAACAACCTGCGTTCAAAATCCCAAGTGTCCATATCAATATTTCCAGGGTCTTGTTGGCCTTCTCAGTATTTTATTTGATATTTTAGAACTATTTAAAAAAATTATCCCCTAGGCATAAATATAAAATGATTCCTTAAAATTATCTGGAATATCCAACTTCCTTATGGATTGTTAAAAGAACACACTTACCCCTTGAAAAACACCAGGGAATGATAATTTCCTCATTCAGGAATCAAATGCTCATTTTCATGGGTCATTAGAGATGGATAGCTCTAAAGGTAGTCTAAATCTTTAAACTCCCCTGTCCTTTAGCAAGGGGAGAAAACCAGGAGAAAGACAAAGGAAATAATGAACATTTGCAAGGCCACTAATGAGCTATTGTGGGTCATTACTTTTATTTCCAATAGGAATTTAAATTACAAACTGCTTTGAGAATCACTTGCATTAGGCATTTACTTTATAATGAATGTGACTGCAATTTTAAAAAGCTGGTGTGCAGGATGGTAGAGAGACCATAAAACCCCCAAGTTACATATTGAATTGTGTGTACACATAATGACTGTATTATTTCTAAGGAATTAACTTCCCCCTCCTCCCTCCCAACTTTCCAGACTCTGAATCATTTTCTAATAGGATCTCAACAGGCAATAGTATTAAAAATGTGTTAGATGTTAGCATCTGGGCCAGGAAAACCACGACAATCTAATATAGAGAATATAACCAGGGCATTCATCTAAGACTGCCATCCATCTTTCCATTCTCTGCAGTGTCCCTCTCCCACTTCAGGGTACATAGATTGAGCAAGTCCTTGGAATAATGACCTTTAAATGAGGCAAAGCCTACCTGACGATGTTTCCTTGCCAGGCAGGTTGCAGGTCTTAGAGAACGGATACCCAAACTACAGCGGTCTTCCTTTTGGTAATGGCGATTCGAATTGAGAAGTCATTTCAGTACATGAAGGCAGACTAAAACACCAGCAACCTCATTCCATTGAAGGGAAAAGAGAACACCAAAGCCTCAGGCATCATGATTTTAACATTTGATTTTTGTTCCACAGTGGAACAAAAATGAAACCGTTCAACAATCCTCGTGGAATCTTCCAGGAGAGACAAGCCAGAGTAATGAGCTTGCTGGGTGGGTAAGATCAGCAAACTGGAACAGCAACACTGCGAGAATTTGCAAAACAGTCTGCTCCATGTCTTCACATTCGATACAGAAGATTCAGATTCAAGAACCTTCTCCAAATGAAGCAAATCTCATTAGAGCTATAAGCAGTCTGATCAGCAAAACTTATTTTCTTCTGGTTGTTGATTAAATGGCTTCTTTAATAAAAAGATTATTAGTTATAATTTTGGGGGATTAATTATAATCCTTGCAAGTGTGGAAAACAATGAAATGTTGTTTTGACCTGCACAAAATTCACTGTCTAGATTTAGGATGTCCATTTATTCTCTTCCCGTTTATCACAGTAGAACAGATGAGGTCACATTGGGAAAAGAAAAACAAAGACCTAAATGAAAAATACCTGTGTATTCACAGTATATATACTTTTCCTGAGGTATCCAGGGTAGTTAAAAATTACTCAGCTGCACAGGGCATCATATTTGGATGCCAGTGCTCAATTAAAGGCTTACTTCAGTAGTGCAGACTGTCAGGAAAACTGTAGCTGTCTTTGAAGGCTTAAAATTGCCAAAGGCAATATAGAGAGAAGGAAGAAAAGGCATTTTAAAGAAATTACGCTATTCACTTGTTACAGTTTAGGAATATGTCTGCAGAGAATGAAGGAAACAAATTACTCTAGAACACTTGCAGGGGTTTCAGAGTGTAGTGGTTTCAGAGTGTAGTGGTTAAGCTCCCTCTGTTTGGGATAGATTCAAATACAGGAGCTGAACTTCAGTTTCATTAAAAACTTAAAACTAGAGCTTTTGTGCTTGGAAATATTTTGTTTTCCTACTCAAATATGCAGAATGTAGTAAGAACTGTGGACAAGACAGGGCCTCTTTGGACACTGTGCCCAGTCCCTTTATACTGCAGTTACCTATCACATCATCTTACCATAGTCTGGGGAAAAAAGCAGTACACTTTACCCTAAATCAAGGCTGAATCCTGATAAAGGGGTCTCCTAAGAGTTCATCTCACTGATGGCTAAAGGGTTCTTCATTTCCAGCCCCACTGCGATCACAGGCAGGTTCAGACTTTGCTGGAAGTGGCATTTCACAAAGCAGATTTCAGGGCTCACAGCAAGTTGGCTAACAGCCCACCAGGATGATAGCTCCATCTGATGCTTGTTGATGTTCTCCTCAGTCTAATGTCTTCCTTTCCACTTTCAATCTCTTCTTGCAGTAACATGGACCAAATCTTTCTTTACATTATTTGCATTACGGTGGTCAATTTCCAACAAACATGGGAACATGTGAGACACTTCCTTCTCAGGAGGCTCTGTTGTCTGAATAGAAGAGGGGGGGGGGGGGGGGGAATGGAGAAAGAAAGGGACAGAAAATAGTTAAAGTACTGAACAAAGAGAAACTCTATCCTCCAGCTTCTCCACTCCAATCTCATGCTTCCAAAATCCTCGCTTCTTCTTTTCAGGGTAAGGTCACTGTCATGGTTTTTAAAAGAAAGATGCTCTTTGAGGACTTGTTTATCTTCAAAAATTTACAGAATACTGTAGACATTTTATTGTCTAACCCTTTCTCTCAGTAATTACGCAAATGGTTGCTGAAATGGAACATTTTAACAAGTATTGCTACTGCAGCCCGGTAAATCTGCTGTATCAAAAAGGCCAAAAATTTCCAGCTCATTTCCTGCTCAGCCTTATAGAGCTGTGAGGAACTGTTCGCATGTCAGCTAAGCTGTATACAATTTCCACCAACTGTTCTAAAGAAATACTTGTTTCTTTGAAAAAACACTTAAGAAAGTCAATATAACATCAAGATTCTGTTTCTTTTTCTAACATGGACATTCCACTTATGCCAATCAACTGACCCTATGTCAACCAAGAAGTTTCTTGCAATCATTCAGTCGACAGGAAGAAATGATGAAACGTGTCAAGTTGGAAAACATATCCCTTCCAGTTGCTGGGCTTCACTTATAATTTGTATGTCTGTTTGGATGATCCTATTATGAATACATTAGTCCTTCTGACAACCATATAGCATCACAGCATCTCACTGCACCTCAGCATCACATTTCTAGCTCAAAGTGTTAAAATAGCAATTTGACCTTCTATGAAAATTTGGTCTAGTTGTAATACTTGCAAGCAAAATGGAGATTAATCCATCTCAAATAGTCACCAACCAGCAAATTCTAACTAGGAAAACAGGATGAGGAAGGATAGAACAAAAGATTAATAAAAACATGAATATTGGTGTTCTTGTAGATTAACGTTAAAAAATCAATATAGATACCCACCGGAGAACAAAGTCAGTCATGTAAAAGGGTGAGGGCACTGTGAGATTAGATCTCAGCAAAGCAGAAGCTTTAGAAGTTTCTGTATTGCATGGCTCACACAAAAGCATCTGTTGACAATATTAATACAGCTCTTGCTTCCTGTAAACTGTGCAACCATCAAAGCCTAGATAGTTTTTGAATTACCTTGCTGAATGAACCTGACATGATTTGGAAATCCGATGCAGAAGTGCGGTTGCAGTTTTGTCACCGATCATAAACATCTCTCTATAGTCCTCTGCAGTGCATGTGCTCCTGGTCAGGCTGGGAGCACCCTAAAGAAAATATGAATACAACTGAGTACATTTTGCACCTACTATAGGAACACCTCAGTGTTTCTAACAACTCTGTCTGTCTACAGAAAGAATTTCTGTGCTTAGTGAGTACTGACCCCGGAAATGCCTAACCAAGACAGAATGGGTTTTATTATTATTATTGTTTTAAGCAAGAGACAAAACAAAAAGGAACAAAAGTTAAAGCTGTTGTGACTGAATGGTGTTTATTTTATTTCCAAGGCTTAAATATTTGTAATGTTAGAATTAGTTATAAATATTTGCAATTAGAATGCATAAAACACACAAGTGACAGGAAACAGAATCTATAGTAGACAAATGGGGCTACCCAGATACCGTTCACCTGAACTTTCACAGATTTGCTATCTGAATGTGATTACTAAAACCACAAAGGTGTGAAGCAGAGCAGTGTTCATTTTTGTTACAAGACTATATGTAAGCACGTTGCATCCATTATTCACTGGTATTTTTACCTCTTACTTTGCTTTTGGCCATGAAGGTTTACCTCAAAACAATTTGTGAAGAAGCTGCTGTATAAATTCCTCACATTACTGAGAATTGCAGGAAACATCAAACATTCGGTTCTGCATTTTGTTTCACATATTTTCAGAAAAAAAAAAAACAGTTTTGGCTTGGTATTCTCATTTGAAATCGTTCAGTCTCATATTTCATAAAAGCATTTATACAGAGCTGCAAAACAAGCACAGAAAAATCATTTTTGCTTTAATTAAACATATTCTTGCAGATCCAGGGATATTAACTGCAGATGGACTCGTGCTTATATATTAAATCACAGGTTCCCCCAAAGTGAAGTATTTCATTGCCAAATTGCTCATAACTAGTTACTGCTGCAGTAAGGGCAAGCCAGTCAGCAAGACAAAAATCTATCAAAAAGAGTTTCTACAGTTTTCACTGCAGGAGTACAGCACCGATTTTCTTATATTAGTTTTGCATAAATACAAAGACTGGAAACTTCTCCCTAGAAATGTCTTTAGAGCAGGGGTGAGACTCTTTGCAGAACCTCTTAGAAGGGCAATACCATCTTCATGCTGTTGTCAAGGAGGGGAGGAAAGGGAAAAATGGTTTTGAACAACTTTTTGCCCCCTCCTGAGCAGAGACCATGCAGGACTTGTACAGTTGAAAAGTAGAACAAAACTCTACAGTACATTAGTAAAAATAATCTCACTGGCATCTCTCTGCTAACCATCTGTTATGGGAGGAAAATGTTCATTCTCATGGGTTCTTGGGTGGTTATTTATGGGTTGTAACTTCAGCTGAGAAATCCCTTAGTGTAACAAAGCATTGCTTGATCAAGTAACTGGTAAATCTGGCTCTTAGAACCTCTCTCCAATTTCAGTTTTCATTACCAATGTGGAAGGTGGAAGACAACAACCATGGGTCTTAATTATAGAAAAATCTGTGAACAAATCACCTGCCTCCATAAAGAGGTCCTTGCACAGTGAGCACTTGTGCAAAGGTAGAGATGAGCACATATATGCTCCTGGCATATTACAGTTTAAGTTGTCCCTTACAATTGGGTAACTGGCCCAAAGTGAAACAAGCAGCTGTTATTCCAAACTTCAATAGAGAAGCAGTGGGTGAGGGTTAAGTGGGTAATTCTAGGATATCAGAATGGAATTGAACATGAGGCTTTAAAGGAAAACAATTTTGCTTTGACTGAGAGGTTTACCCCACAGAACAGGGACAGAACAATAAGTCTGGAAGGTTACTTTAACAGCAGTAATTTCAGCAGATTGAAATGGCCAAACCAACTCCTTCACCCAGAAAGAACAATTGAAGAAGAGACTGTGGATTTGTAAAACAAAGGGGCTACATTCTCTCCCCTTCTGTGACTGGCCTGCTGATGTGATTTTACACGTTCACTGTCATGCCCAAGAGCATGTTGAGTGCAGTCAGAGGCAGAGAGGAGGAGGGAGAGGCAGTCGGAAGTCAAACAAAAGTTCTATGAAAAGAAAGTCTGGAGTAAAAATAGCATGAAAGAACCCTATTCTGCTAGCAAGGAGCCAGATGTGGCAACACAACGTATCTAGAAATAGTGTGGGTCACAGATGGGTTTTGTCCATCTCTGTTTATCCTGATGTTATATTATCATTATTACTGCATACCAATGCATCCACTGCACATGTAAAGGGGATATCTCTGAGCAGTAAGTGAAAAGCAGAGTAATTACATTAATTTATCACACACCTTTGGCTGTTTCACCACCACCTCCCTCCTGAATACTCTTAGCCTTCCAAAAAAGATCTTACATAGAAAATCTTAAAGTGTTTAAGAGGGAGGAAACCAGTAGGGTTCTATAAAACATTAATAAGGTATCACAGAAAATGTCCTGAAACTACACTGGCTCCATTCTCCTTTTCCAGAAGTGCAAATCAGGAGTGACACCAGTGTGGTCACACTGCTGTTCTGCTAGAAGAAAACACCACAAGTCAGATCCAAGATCCATCGAGTGCAACTGGCTCCAGCACTAATCAGGCTTAATATGTCTTGTAAAGCTGTCAACCCTAATTAGGGTCACTATAGATCCTTAGTACTAGTATCGCATTCATTGATTGATCTATGTCTTAAAACCACTTTAGTTTTTGTCACTACTGTTGGTGTGGTTACCGTTGGCAATACTGTTGGTTATTCCAGGACAGCTCTTCTCTGTGGATGAATTCCCTCATTTTTAACCACTGGTTTGTGTGTTCCCCACAATGAGACGGGGTAAAAAGGCAAACAAACCTCTCTCACAAAAAAAATCCCACCCCAAGCAGAGCAGTCTCTAGACTTGTGACATCTCAGGAGAGATCCTGATTCCCTCCATCCCCAACAAAGTTGTCCTGCAGGTGGTAGGCTGGCTCCCCTAGGGACAAGGATTATAATAATCTTCTTGTGCTTCATCACAGCCACTCACACAGTCCTTTGTGTCAGATGGATACTTGGATTGTCAACTGATTAACAAAGGAAACCAACATTTTCTGTCAAAGAATTGCAGGGTTTCAGAACTATAAGCCAACATGCTGGAATCATTTTGAAAACAAAAACCAAGCCAGAACAACAGATAGCAGTGGTGTGCTTTTACTTTGATGGGGTTTAGGCAGTGGGATCCACAAGTAACTACAATGCTTTGCCAGGACAGATAGATAATGTTTGCTATTCTCAAGACTCTCTCCTCCCTGGCTCCCCACTACCTCTTTTGTGTGGTTGCTGATACTCACAGCTTCTTCATGGGATGGAATCACGAAATAGTTTTTTCTATTGCTGTCACATCTGCACCACAGAGATTTCCTGGATACAAGAAAGAGGCAACTGCTTTCTGGTGGGGTGTCCTCATCCCCCTTGGTTTCCCTTCCACATCCATTGGGTCAATGAGATTTAAAAACTGTCCCCATCTCATCCAGACATCAGTATACCTGCACTGAATAAGAGTCATGGCTATTTCTTACCTTTATAAATAACTGATTGCTGTTGAAACCTTCAGGCTGTTCAGAGCAATTCTGTGAATAAGAAATATTGAGTTAATACATCTACACACACAGACTCAAAAGGGGGTTTTAGGTGCAGGGAGGAACATCCAATTGATCTGTTTCTTTGACTGAATGCAAAGTTACCTACAGACTCTTAACGCTGCTTTAAGCATTCAAGCCACATGCTATATAGGCACATCCTAGATTTCATTTTCCTGTGGATCAATATGAACTCCTAAGAATCCATAATTCCACCTATTCTGTTCCCTCACTGACCAGCTTAATATTTTACACTTCAAAAACCAAATAAGAAACATGCTCAGATACCATTATCACAGCATTTTCCTCATATGACATCTCTCCTTCATCCCTTTTTGAAAAGCTCCTTTTCTCTGCTTTTAACAGACATGAATGCAAACACAAAGAGAGTATGATTCAGCTCTCTACTCATGCCAGTTCTAAAGAAGTTGACTTCCACTGGTTGCTGTCTGCTTCAAGGTTATGTAGCTGAAATCCTGTGATCAGAAGCAGCTCTTGGAGTAGCTTACTCAGCAGAGCAAGCTCACTATTTCAGTAAAAAGCAACAGAGAATGCAATTAGGTTCCTAGTGTTATGTCACAGAGCAGGAAAGAAGATTGAATACTAAGGATTTTACATCTGAACTATATTGGTAATTTAAAAGTCTCCGGGATTTGATGGCCCATCATGTTTGTGTACAATTCACCTCAGTCTGGCAGTGCCAGTACAGTCTGAAATTAAGGAAGTCATCCTGTAAGAAACTACGATTTTGTGATTTCCATAAGTTTGAGGGGGAGCTAAGGGGTTTTCAAGCTACCAGTGACAACTTGGCAGCTCAGAGACAGCCAGACTCTTGGTTTAACATCAGTGCAGAGAGATCTGCCCCAGCTGATGCTGCAGTCCCCCGCAAAGCCTTGCCCCATCAAGAGCTTCCCCCTGTTTGAATGTTCTTTGGGGATATTTGAAACATGGGTGCTGGTGCCAGCTCAGCTCTCAGTGGCACAGTACCCTCATGGCAGAAGCAGACACACCAAAGCTGTCTAACAAACCCACACAGCAAGAGTGACTACAGATAGCAAATCTAGTTACCCTTTGGCTACCACAGAAATACACATGCAACATGAAAACAGGAGGTTTGTTTCAATAGGGGTAGAACTGAGTGGCTCCAAGTGCTAACTATAATAGACCTTTTAAAAACATAGGCTTTGCATATTTGGACATTTTTCATTTAAATAGCAACTTTCAAAGCTGGTCAGACAGAACCAAGGAGTTCTTTGACGCCCAGAATACGTGGCAGAAATCACCCCCACTATGCCATTGGTTACTCAAGACGTTTCTCCCCATTTCTGACTCTGCTTAGGTATTACGCAAGTGAAATGCCCTCCAGTGATGCCATCCTACAGTTAAACCATGCTGCTTACCTGCAGTGCCATGTGAATAAAACCTGGTTTCACAAGTTCTAATAAATCAGTTTTATACAGATCAATCCCAATACCTTTGATATGCAGAATTTGTGCATAGCAGAGGGGAAGTCTGGCAGTGAATTTCTATTGCTCAAGGTTTGATCTCAACGCACAAAGCAAACTCTTGAGATTAGAAAAATGCATTTGCTTCTGGGAAATAGTCTACATGCATGAACATGTAGGAAGACAGATTCTCCTAGCTCTAAATTGTGATCTCTATCTGTGGCCCTTTGTTTAGAAGCAGAAAAAGGAGGGAGAGACTGGAGATGATCTGTGAAGAGGTGTAGGACTTATTGATATAGCTCCAAAACAAAGGTGACTAACCTCTGCCTGTTTGCCCAAACTCTGAATATCTCTGCCCAACAAACTGCAGAGTTAAAGATTAGAACTGGCTAAAATAGCAGGCATAGAGAAAACTGAGATACCAGATCACTTGCTTGTTGATGCTTTTGTTGTTGCAGCAGAGAATTACACGAGGGGATAACCTGTGTTTTACAGGAGCTGGTTGTTGCTACAATTGCAGTTTTCGAAGTGGACACTTAGTCTGTTTTCTGTGGAAAACTGGAATCTCATCTAACTTACTGGCAAAGCCAGCTAGCTCTGGAGAGGAGAAAGCAGAGATTCCTCCAGCTCTCAATGCTACACACTAGGCAGCTCTCATCTTTGTCCTTTGCGACTAGCATCTGTACGTTGCTTTCCCCTCCTTCTGGCCTGTGGCCTGAGGATAGTTGCTGTGTGCCATGAGAACACCCACACTGTCCCCTTTCCACCCCAAAGTCCTCATGTCCCCATCCAAGCTTCCAGGCCCTGGCCAGCAAAAACCTTTTGCCACCCTTCTGCTTTCATAACTTGCTCCCACTCCTGCACAGGCAAGAGACCCACAGGAACCGTTCTCCAAATAATCTCTCAGAAATCATTTTATCATGTAATAATACCTCTTATGACCCAATTAATTGAAGGACAGCAGATGACACAAATTGCAGATGACACAAATTGAAACAATTGCTTGTTTCAATTTATAAGCAAAACTGGAACAGAAGACAGTCAAATTAAGATTTCCAATTGCTGATTCATGCCAGGGTTCTACTGGATGATTCCTAAAGGTTGATTTAATCAGGGCTTTTAAGGATTCAATCAATCTTTTAAGGACCCAGTCAACCTTTCTCAAGCGATACAAAATAAACAGGGGCAAAACTTTCACTTTAATCTGAAACTGAACCCATAGGCTTTATGAAAGTTGGCATCTGCATACAACAAAATAACACATGGCTGATCAAAGTTCCTCTCTGGCAGGATCTACTTCCACTCATACAGATCTCTTGCCAACAGACACACGTACCTGTTATGTACTGGGCAGAAAAAAGTCATCCTGAAAACATGCTCTGTAGACTGCAAGCCTGTATCTCCAGCCGTTGCGTGAATTGGGAACCAGGATTTGGTACAGAGAGCCCTCAAGTTGCTTCACAAGTGTCCCTCGAAGTGTTCATGAAGGTCAGAGCTATGCTGAGGGCTAGAAAAGGGCTCAAGGTGCAAATGCAGTAGTCCCCAGCAGTTCACCTTCCCCAGGGTAATAGACTAGCAGCAAACTGTAACTGTTGCCTGCAGAGGTTTATATTCGCCAAGCAGTGGCTAACGACCTTTAATTGTTGTCAGGGTTCCAATGCCAATGATGATATCTAAGAAACTAAACCCTTACAGCCAGGAATTATAGCTGATTTCCTTACCCTCAAGATAATTAACTTGCATTAGCTGGGGAGTATCTCAGGGAGCAGGCAAGTTGAAAGGAAGGTTAAGAAAGGTTGCCCTGTGATGATGGGATTCATTTGCTTCTTAGGGCCTGATGCCCCCCAATAGTGAGATACAGAGCTTATTCCAAGTTCTTGGAAAGAACAAGGCAGAAAGATAAATGAAGTACCTGTACCTATCCAGTTCCTCCTGAGCAGAAACTATATGTCCTTCTGGCATCTTGACCGTATATTCTGAACAGCCTTTGGAAGAACACACATTATCTGAGATCTCCCAATATCCAGCCATCCACAGGCCCAAGAGAGACACAACCTGATGACACACTGAATCTGGTCTTTCCAAAGGGTTCACAAGCACGGATGGTCTCATGAATATGTGCTGTGACTGGCAAAGTTGTTTCATCTGCCTTCAGTATCATTAGGGCAGGAATTACCTCCATATTACTCTCTTAGTTGTTAAACCAAGATCCTGAGTGAGAAATGGAAGAGGAGAAATAAGGGAAGCATAACAGCCTCTTATGTTAAATCCACCTCATGTGTGAGCACAGAAAGCCAGAGAAGTTTGCTGCCTCATGCTGTGAATCTACGTCTCAGCTTTTGGCAGTGGAACAAAACCCTGGAAGCGTTCTGGAGGCATTCACATGTTTTGCTGCTTGCTTTGGCTACCTTCGAAGCAGCCTAAACCCTCTGTTCTCTTTATAGAAATATGTTTGCAAGGCATTTTTCTGAAACTGGTCACAATGAAAATACCTGAAATTTAGATTCCTCCACCCCCTTTAAAAAGAAAAAGTGATTAAAAAAGATGTTTTTCAGATTGTTCAAATAACAACGGTAACCGTATCCAAATGAAAATCAGCACAACCGAGTAAAATGGGTCTTTTAGGCTACTCTCTGCATGCCTCATTTCTTTTTTCATAACAGCACATATTTTCTCCTGTGTGATCTTGTTGGGATATCATATATATCCAGACTTTGACTCCTGTTTAAGGAGGGTGTGAAAGCTTTATCAGAGCACTCCTAAGGCAGTGCATTTGACATTGTACTCCCTGGAAGGAGCGCAGCATCGTGCAGCACACCTGAAGCAGAACAAAGATGTTAGTTCTCCTTCCAGAAGTTACAAGGCACCTGCAGATGGGGAATCAACTCAACACTCACTCTGCTTCTGAAGTTAATTTAGTAGCCTATATCGATTTCTCTGCTGCCTTGGCTAAGCAGCTTCTGATGTATTTTGAAGTTTTATGTTGTCTTTTGATGCCATGCAGAACACATTTTGTTCTGCCTTTCTGAAGTGCCTGTCTTGCAAATGGAGCTGTGATCAGGCACTTAACTACTCTCAGTACCTGACACTGCAACTCCATGTTTTGCCTTGACAATATAGAGTTAGGAATTATCTCCTGTTATGTTTGTTAAATTCCCTTTGGAATGAGAGCACAATGGAAAAGGAGGGCTTTAGTCATGAACCAAATTATAACCTAGACAGCAAGACAATTACTCTAGCTGGCTGTCCTGAGAGAAGCAGAAGGAAGGAAGCAAACCAAGAAAACATCACTTTGGAGATTTCCATCATCACTAAAATCACTTTACACCTGAAGTGACAGGTATGAAATTACCCTGATTATGTTCCCCCAGTAGATGGATCAGAAAGAGCTGTTGAAATTCGCCTGTGAGTCTAAGTCCAGTTACTCTTAGTCCTACTCACTGATGCAAGAGTGCAAGTTTGCTCCGGTTTCCATTGGCTTATACTCTCACTTAGTGCTGTATGAAGATGTGAAGTATGTCATAAAGGGCAAAGGAGCCAAATTTGATTGTTCTGGGTCCTTGCTCATGGTCTGATTGAAATATGAGGTATTATCTACTTTGCTTTCACATCAGACAGTCTCAAACCACTAGCTCTGAAATGAAACCCCTTTGAGGCTCCTTGATAATGTGCTTCAGCAAGTATTTCACAATCAAAATGAGTCTTGGTATTTGTGAAAGACGCCAGAATCATGCCAGCACATCTGTTTAGGCTGAATGACTGACGCATTTGGGCAAGTCTTTCTGCCTCTGTTTCCCCTTCCTAATAAAATAGGGATAAATATTAAACCCTCAGTAGACTGAAGTTCTCATCCCAGTTCCAAATATTTTTTTCTCCATTTTTTAATGTCCTTCAAGACAGAAGGAGGAGTATGATGTTTTTTTTTTTCCACTGCTGTCATGCTCATCTGTTGTTCATCACAAAACAGACTGAGAGGGGTTTTTTTTGCTACTGATAAATACATTAAATCTTTACATGTCAAAAAAACAAAGCATAAAAATATTTTGGAATGTGATGAATATGGAAAATATAAGGAGAGAATGGGATGGAACTGAAAAGGGAAAATGCTAGATGAAGAACACATTATTAAGAGAACTTACCCCAGCCTTCAGATAACATCATGTATTAAAATAAAGTGGCCTCTGCAACTGAAATAGAGGAATGCTCCAGAACCTATTCTAATGTAGCAGATATTTAGGAAAAGGTATGAAAGAAGTCATTGACTGAAACAGGGAGGAGACTATTAAAGGGGCACTTACCATTCAGAGTTTTGATTTAATTAGATCATGGGCTGATGATGGCCACCAGACCTTCAGTTGCACACAGTCTTGTTTCTAACTCTGTGGAAGGCAGAGAGTAGGCCAGCAAGGGAGAATGGGTCGAGTGGTCTTTAAAGTGTGCAGCAGCAAGAAAGAGCAATGTAATGCATAAAAAACCCAATCAGAAATGCAACAGCTGTGAAACTGTCTTTGTTTCCCCAAAACCTGTTGAAGCTGTGTTATGTTTTGCACATTAACCTCCCCCTACCACGAGCAGCACAAGACCAAGGCAACACTGAGGTGGTAAGTCACTGGAGCAATAAAGCAACACTTTATTAATGCCTGTCCTCCTAAAAATGCAACCCCAAATTCCTTCCAGATATTCAACAGGGCAATGGAAGTTTTATTTGTGGGTTAAACCATAGAGCAAACTGCAACCCTTGTGCCCTCTTAAATCACGCCGCCTCCTTGGAATGACTAAAATTCCCTCTGAGTTGCTTTACCCAAAGTTTGTAAATGCCTGGAAGGCATAAACCACTAATGCATGTAATTTTTCCTTTCCCTCTCCGCCATTTCTCCAGCTTTCCCACACAGATCGCTGCTTTCTCCCAGCCACTTCAAGAACAGGATATATTTCTGTCTCAAAAACCATACACTATCTCTCCTGATCCAACGAGTCAGATTACTCTGAGATTCAAAACATACTTCCTTGCTAAATTAGGCATTCCTTTTCCCCTTACGAGAAGATAATCTACTTGCAAACCAGGTGTGACTTGGAGTGGTCACCTCCAGGGTTTTCTGCAGGGAGTAGTTATTGATGGACACAGCCTGACTGTAGCCAAAAGCAAACGATACTCAATGCTCATGCAGTGCACAATACTGAGCTGTGCTGGAGACAGAGCTGGACCCACTTACCATGTTTCTTTGACTCATATCCTTGGATGAGGTGTTCTTATGCAAAGCTGGCTCTCCTCCTTCCTGCAGTCCTCTGCAAGCTCCCATTTGCCCAGCGCTGAAGGTTTCCTCCTGCAGGAGACACGTGTTAAGCCACAGCAAACCTGTTTAGCAGTTCTATTCTGCTCCCCTTCATTTCTGCCAGATTCACTTTGCATAATATCTAACGCTGGTTCCCAAGGATATTTTTCACATGCACCAAATTTCCCTTCAAATACTTTCCAGTTAATAGTGTATTCAGAAGGCACTAATTTCTGTGCCTTCTTTTCAAAGTAAGGCTCTCAAAATCCCCAAATGCCAAAGCCAAGATGATCTGGGCCGTGTCATCTTTAATTTTCTGTCCTTCCAGCTCACTAATATGATGCACTCTACATTAGAAGTAGATTGCTTGGTTTTGAACACTTGGATTAATTTTTTGCATAAGCTATACCTGAAGCTCTCTCAGAAACATTTTTACAGTCATCCTGCAGAGAAGCTTAGCGAGAGTTCAGCCACTGCTTCTCATCCTTGCTTAACACAAATACCAATACATCTAAGGCATGTGTGTAACCAAGGTCTTCTCTATTAGCCATCAAATCTGTGCTTCCATTATAGAGTTTTTCACAACTGAAGTCACTCTCATTTTTGAATAGCACAGCTAATAATTCTGGTATAAAAAACCTGCTATAAAGAGCAAATGCAGGAAAAAAAGTCCCAAAAAGTCCCTTTGCTCAGTTTTACTCCAAGTGATGTCAATAATAAAATTTATGATCATATATCTGTGTAACACTAACACTCTGTAGAAAGAAGTGGACTTCTCTTGGTGTTTACCTCTGCAAGGCTGTTGACTATAAGGCTGGCACATACCCAAGAGTTAAAACCAGAGTAATCACTTCACATACACAGGCTAAATTCAGATAAGGATATGAAAATCAATGTGTTTTTCAAAACCCACACTGACTAGGTATAACTTCTCCCATTTATAAAACTGATTCAGAAACGTTAAAACAGCAGTGATGTTCAGACTGCTTCTGTTCGGGACAGAAATACACAATTTTGTCACTGTCTTCTGAGAAAAAACAAAAAAGATATTGAAGGTGGGTGAAAGATGAAAGCAAATGCAACCCTAGGTTTCTGATGCTGAAGTAGTTTGATATAATTGTAGCTCTACGAAGCTTGCAAGAGGCTGTATTCAGTGTGTGTCTGCTCCTGAATCTTTTTGCCCGTCTTCCCAAGGCCACTGACCTGTAACCACACATTAAAGTGTCAGGTTTTGAACACCTAAAAACCCTTCTGTAGGATTTTGATTTTCTTTATTTCAAAGGCAGGAGCCATACAGATAACTGCACCTCCTGCCTGGGATTTCATATGCCTCTACTGCCAGATGATAAAGACCTGCATGCCGATGTTTCTGTGTCTATTTTCATACCTGGGACTCTTGTAATAAACACTGAAGTGGAACAACTAGTTCTGCATGAAATTGGTGAATAGGTCTGAACTGGTGTTTGCTAACAAATCCCCACTCCATTCATATCCTCCTTCTTCCTACTGTTATGAGGATTCCTCTCTCCTTGGGCTCTCTCTTTTTAAAACTATTTAAAACAAGTTAGAATATTTCTCAAAGCTGTGTATGTCTTTGAACGTCCACTCATTGCAACTAATCACTTAATTGTGGGTTGGTTGGAGATATCAGGCATTCCAAATGAGCTTTTCCAGGTACCAGGCAATCAAACCCTGCCAGATTTCCCAAGTGCGCTCAGCTCGGTGGAGTGAATCCAAGTGGGTTTGGCAAGTCAGCTGCTCCCACACACCACACACCTACCAGTATCTCATTTGCTGAGCAACTCTTTCTTCTTCCCCTCGTCCACCCACTACGGTAACCTTGGCCAGGAGGGGAATTTGTAGTTCAGTAGTTCAAAAGAAAGCTCATTCATTCTGCACTGAAAACTATGGCAGGGGCACGGCTGCCCTGTTCTAACTTGTCTGGGGTGATCAAGATGCTCCAGCACTGAGCTCCCATCTGAGAAGACACGTGAAAGCCCTCCTGCTGTCACACTCAAGCAGTATCTGGCATTGCAGGGCTTTGCCTTGCCTGGAGATGAGCAGGATTCTCTGCTGACATCTGAAGGAGATTCTTGCTGCCAGGCAGCCAGGAACCAAGGCATCAAAACCCTCACCTCTCAGCTTTTCCAAAGCAACAAAATAATACTATGCAAGCTCCATGTCTATATAAAGCTCCAGTGTATAAGATATAAGAAACTAAAGAAAAGCAAAGACCTTCAGCATGATAAGCACTTCAAACAACGTAGGGACTTATTTTTCATGTTTTATTATTTCCATCACTGGTTTTATCCTCCTTGCAAAATGCTCAGCATTCAGGCAATATTAAAAGCACCTGAGCAGTAAACTTTCAAAAGGGCACAGCCAATGCTCAGAACTTGGTTTTCTTCCCTTTTATGTGCACTTATGAAACAAACTGAATGAAAACACAAGTTAATACTTCTCGAGAACCAAGGAAAAGGCTTTTCTGCCTCCAGACTCCCAGCTGTCTTTCCACAGGAATCAGCTACAAAAGTGTACCCGGAAGTCCTGCTGACACTATTTGCTGATTACGGTGCACATGGATTATCTGACCTGATAAAGCCGGGGTTTTTTTCCCTTCCTAACTTCAGGCCATTGCTCACTTCAGGAGTCAGATAGTGTTTTTCAAAAGAAGCAGAGCAAAAGTAGGAAGAAATATCAAATGCCGCATTTCTTCATTGATCATGGGCAAAAAAAGGATATATAAGTGGAAAATCTGTCCTTTCTACCCCTTGCCAGTCATCTGTATCCAAGGCAAGTTCAACAATTCAGTTGGTAGGCAGTCAAAATGCTGTTCAAGTAAATGTGATGCCTTGGTCCCGAAGTCCTGTGCACCATTTGCCCCAGGAGGTTCAGATGTTACTCTAGTATCAGACACATCTTGTGTGAAACAAATACAAGAAGGTTTGAATCCTGCATTTTTCCACCTCCTTCACCCTGGTCTGGAAATACATGCAATTGAAATGCAGGAAAGTCTCATTCAACTTTGTTAAATATGATGCTTGTTTAGTGCTCAGCCTTGTGCTGAGCTGCCGCTCCCTGTAAAGGGTGCTCTCCCACAGCTTCCTCACAAGCCCATGGGATAAAGAGAGGTGCAGGGACATTGAGAAATGCAGCTGAAGCAAGCTTGTGTTTCTTACATCCTCATTTTACCTCCTGCCTTATCTGTAATTAATATCTGTAAAATGTTTTGAACTTTCTTTTTCTTTTATCTAAGCCATGGTGCAGCCCCTGGATGCAAGGAGTTGGAAGAATCTATGATGGCAAATGGGAGGAATCTCTCCTTGCTTAACATTTGTTTTGCAGTATTACATGTGACTGTAGCCAAGCACATCTTGCAAGCTTTAATAATAATGTGTTTTATTTTGGTCAACAGGCTGTGTCTATGCAGTCGTGGTTCAGATCAAATGAGTTTCCAAAGTGACTGACCAAGTTTCTCTCAACAACTTGCTTCTGCAATCACTCAGGTGATAAGTACAAGCCTGTGTAATATGAGAAACTTCAGGGGGGTATAAGGAAGGGTTTATGAACCAAACCAATCCGAGGCATTGGTGTTCTTAGCGGTGTCAAAATATGACCCATGTGGCTAGTTTGATTCCTTTGTATTTCTACCAATTCCCTTCCACAAGGAGTATAAAGTACAAACCAAGGTTTTAATTTGTGACAAACAGTTGCACAAAGTGATTTACATGGAAAGATCCAAAGTAATTCAGCACCAGCCCTCCTCCTAATTTTTCTTATTTCTTCTATCTCTAATTACAAGCATGAAATCCAGGTAATAAGTGGATAAGATTTTCTGCTAAGAAAATGATGTCTATAATTATAGGCACTTGTTCAACTGAGATATTGTGGCATCCAGTGCTTCCACAAAGATACTAATTGTCAGTCTTTGCACTGTAATTAAGTCTAAATGGGAATCCTAATCTTTTTCCAAATGAGCAAACAGTAAGCCTATCTTGATTGGCTCTGTTGTGGCAATGAATGAAACTGATTTACTCTATGAGTTAATTAAGTTTTATGAAGTTCCATGCCCCCCTTCCTCAAAACCCACATTGTCAGCAAATATTTGAGCTAATTAGTTGTTTATTGTTTTAATGCTCTGTGATAGTATTACCTGCATTGTCCTATTAAGAGCCCTGTTTTTCTGCAACCTTGATTTCAAGTTTTCCCCCCTCGGAGCAACTACTTTGCCTTTGATTCACCTGTTCCTTGAGTTCACGGCCTTCTTTTCCCTTTGAGGCTTATGATTTCAACAAGGCTCATGAGTAAAGAGGATGCTATGCAGCATGCTGCTCAGCTTTCCTTGCAAATACTCTTCACGCCTAACCATGACCTAGCAAGCTCAATGTAAGTGGTCACATCTCACAGGCTTTCTTTTCACCACTGTTCATGTGGGATACTTTTCCTATCAAATGCCAGTGCAATCAGCCCAGCTCAAACGCTGTCCAACCTGGCCTTGAGTGCTGCCAGGGATGGGACAGCCACAGCTTCTCTGGGCACCCTGTGCCAGCACTTCATCACCCTCACAGGGAAGAACTTCTGCTTAAGATCTCATCGCAATCTCCCCTCTGGCAGGTTAAAGCCATTCCCCTTGTTACTATGTGCCCTTGTAAAAAGTCCCTCTCCAGCTTTCTTATGAACTGTTATACTACATGAGCCAGCCAGAACCAATGTGACTTGCTCTTGCCCTCTGTTCCCACATTCAACACAACATTGTTATCCACTCAGTTTGAACTTTCAGTTTGATTTTGCTCCATTCCTACAAATATAACTTCCTATAACTATGCAGGAGAAGAGTCAGAAAACTATTCCACAACACTTCACACTCTGGTCTCCCAGGGAAGCCACACACACGTCCAGGAGATCCAGGACCGGGTTCAGATAGTGGCCTCTAGAAGCTGCCACAGAAAGGGGAAATTTTGGATCCACTCCTCAGCCAATACCAATCAGCCCAGGTACACTAAATCAGTGCAGATACACTGATTTATTATGTGTGAAGAGCAGGATTTGCTTCCCCACTATCTCTGCTTTCTCATTGCTTTCTCGCCTCAGTTGTTTGCCTAGAAGAACATATTTATTCTTCCTTTCATGAAGGACTTGAGCTGCAAAATAAATGCAGAGTAAAATGTTTCCAATGCACTTGCCCAAATATAATGATTTGTGCAATTTAGTGGAAAAAATCACAGAGCTGAAAAAATATCTGTGCTTCCTGTGGCGAGAGCACCTGAAAGGCAATGAAATTCCATTACCTGAAACAAGCCCATAAACAGCATTACAGAGCAGCCACTTGTCAGTGCTAGATGCTATTTGTGGGAAGCCACTAATTGCAGCTTTCATAAAACGGTTTGACTCCCTTCCAGGCTGATGCACAGTGCATTCCAAGCGGGTGATTTAGAAGCTGCAGAAAGCCAAATGCCCCAGCCACAGGGGAAAGCTGCCACTTTTGGAGAGCTCTCCAGCTGAGCAAGATGTTGGCCACTTTGTGGCAATTGAATTCTATGCTGTCAATGTCTCCTCCATCAGAGCAACCATGACAATCAGAGACAAACTTTGAGAGCAGGAATGGTAGCACATATTGTAAGGGGCAGCCTCTGTCTCCAGCAGATTCCTGGGGTTTAATGTTGTAGGGAAACTAGGCAGAAAGACCAGGACTGCAATCCGTTTGCCTAAACAGAGACAGTTAATGTTGCTTGAGATGTAACACTTAAGGCCTTCTACCAGCAGATACAACACTGGATGAACAGGAGACTTCTTTCCTCCTGGAAGGACAGCTGGAGGTCAAGTGAGGCATAGCAAAGCATCCCAAGTAGTTTGTGAAGACTGTTAGGCAACAGTCACGGCACAACTGACTTTCTCATGGCGATACAATGAACCCGCAACAGAAGTAGCTCTTCCCAATCTAATGCTTTGGCAAAAGCCCTTCCTTCCTAATTACCTTTCTTCTTAGGTAACATGTCCCCCGCGTAGAACAAATAAGGGGAATGAAACGTAAGTCAAGCTTCTCATCTTCATCCCTAATCCAAAACACACATGCTTCACCTCTGACCCTAGGATTGCTTCATATCTCACCCCATGAATCTATACAGGTGACACAATAGGACGAGTTTGATTGGCAGGTGGGAAAACTGGCATGCAGCAGTGTGATTCATCAGTCCTTTCAGAGCACACAGAAACATTCTGCTGATGTTTGGATAGTTTACATGCTCTTATCTCAGAGGAACTTGTTCACACAAGCAAGGTTTGATTTTATGTTATCTTAAGCCTTTCCCTATACTTGTCCTAGTAGCTGAAAACAAGTTATTTTAGCCAAAGGCTCCAAAATTCTCACTCCTTTTTTTAATAAAAACAGACGGATCTGTGAATTTAGAAAAAAGAAAGGAAAAAAATGGGGAAAAAGAAAAAACTGAACAGTATTTTCAGTGGCTCATGAGCTGGAAAAACAACATTTTTTAATGAGGGGAAAAAAAAAAGATTAAGGCCACTCAGCAGCTGAAAAAGCAAGCACTTATTAAAACAAAATATTTAATGTTCACAGCCATTCAATGGTTGGAAAAGCATATTCTAATGACCACGTTTAATAATGTTTAGAGCCACCCAGGGCCTTGAAAAGCAACTTCTTGCCTAACCTTACAAAGCTGCTGATTCTAATAAATAACATGCATGTTGAACTCACAGGTAGGGAATCAGATTGCTTACCAGTGCTGGGGAGAAAAGGGTTAAAACCCCAAAGCTCAAAGTCCTCCTCTTTTGTGAGATGAGGGAAGTCAGGGACAGGTAACTGGTAGGAGAAAGGAGGGAAAGGAAGAGAGCTGCAGAAAGGAGCTGAGCTCTCTGCTATTCTTCCCAGTGGGAAATATCCAGTACCCAGAGGGTCACCACATTGTCCCAGTATGAGAAATTGGAGAACAAATACAGCTTTCCTATTACCAGGAAAAAAAGGGGAGACTGTGCTGCTGCAGACACCCCCCTGCTCCTTCACAAACTGCAGGTGCTGGAGACTATAACTAGGCAAAAGGGGCCAGGGGCAGGTCAAGGTGTGTCTGCAAGCACTATGTAATATAAAGACATTCTTCTTCAGTTTGATAATCTAATGGCTTGTTATGCAGCATCGCAGATTTATGCAGAAGTTCACTGTTTTAGCACAGATTGTATTTGCTGGGGAACGGTCTTACTTGAGCCATTTCCTACTCAGAAATAGTCTATGCATATTGAAAAATGGTCTTAATTTTGCTGCATTTAAAACAAAACATACTCCTAGGAGACCTGAGATGTTGTGAATTAGTCCTCTGAGCCTTTCAGCAGCGTGACTGCCTTGAGTTTGAAACACTGCTGCAATTTGTTGTCAATATTTCACACTCCTCTAATTTTCATACATGGAAAATAAGTGCTTGGGGTCACCTCGGCTTGTTGACAGGGATTCAGGGAGTCATTCTGAATCCCTCTGTGCATTTGGAGCCTTTCCAGAAGCTCAGCACGGTACCTGTGAAGCAATTTGTCTTTGCAAAAATATTTTGCCATTTAAAGCCACTAAGTGGCAGGGAAAAGCAACTCCAGAAAATATATGTTGTGCGTAGTGGTGGTTCATAGCTGTACATGCTGAGGGTTTTAAATGTAATGCAGTAACCCCTCCTACACAAACCAGTTTCTAGGCTGCTGCTAAGAGCACCCTTTCCACCCAGCAGAAACAGGAGAAATCAATGTACGTTAATCAAGGTATCAAATATAAGAGAGATCTATCAACAAATAGAAATAGAACCAGTCTGCCAGCGTGGTGCCAGGCACCTGGCCAAGACTTTGTGCAAATAAAGATACAGTATGGTACAGTGAGGGCTCCCAGCACAGCCACAAGATGACAATCGACTGCAGTGTTCCAGCTCACTTGCAGAAGTCTGTTGTGCCCATTGGACCCTACACCAGTGACCGACACTGCACTCAGACTGTAATTAAGATGATGACAGGGATTGCTCTGAACGACTGATTTCAGCTGCCTCAAAGGAACTGACATTTCTTGGGTAGAACTGGAGGCTTCAGCTGTTTAATTTCAGATGACATTCATTTGCAATGTTCCTGCTCATAGCACTGACCTCCAGCTGAGAGGAGGTCTCCATTAAGGGCACACAGACCTGAATACTTGCAAGGTCACAGCCTCACCCTTTATCCCCAGAGAAACAGTTTTCTCTCCAGAGGGAAAACATACTGGTTAGTTTTTCCGTGCTGAAATGCTAGCTTTGTGTTCCCAGCTAAAACATATGTGCACCTCTGGTGAAAAGCCATATCTGCAAAGAGACACCAGGTAATTTGCATCTATCAGCTACCGCAGATGCTCCCCACGGTCAGTAATGGGGCACCTCCATGGCAGGATTTGGGGTTCTGGAGCTGGAGAAGAGGGAACCTGGAAGAGGCTCCCCTGAGGCTGTTAGCATGGCTGGGAGACATAGCCCAGCAGTCAGACAACTAGTAAGGCTGGATTTCCATTTCACCCCATAAAGGCAATTATGATACCCATGCGCTGCACACACCCTGCTTCAAGACACACAGCATCCTCTTTTGGGAGAATCCCATGGCCATAAGGGGTCCTTCTCCCACCTCAGCATGCAGATACTGTGATTTCAGCCATCTTCACCTTGCTGGGTTGCCCTCTCTTTACTGCCAGGCCCAAAATTTTGAGGTTTTCTTAAAATCCTAACAGCTTTCAATTAATGGCAAATTTGGATTTTTTCTGGATGCTCTTAAAGCAAGAAACTGTCTTTTTCTTCCTCTTTTTCCCCTTATAACTATTCTTAATTGGAGCTGGGATGGGAGTTAGAATGATGCTAAACAACCAAGCAGGGAAGGCTGCAAAATGTATATATGGGGAAGGTTTTGACTGCTGGGGATCAGCCCAAAAGTTGGATCCTGGGAAAAACACAAATGCCTGAAGGTAGTTCAATGGGACACATCTGTTGCTGCTCCCAGCAACGTTCAAGCATCCTGTAAGGATGCTTCTCATGGGACTTTTTTCCCCATTTTCTGCAAACATCCCGACAAAATCCTACAGCTTAGCATCCCGAGCAGCTCCCACCACCTGCTCTTTCCAGCCTAGAGCCCTGGGTTTGTCCAGGCTCTCACAGATACTGTGCAGATGAGAGCAGGCTATAAGAGTCCTGGGGAGGAAGCACATGTCTTTCTGTATATCTGAATGAAAAATGCCCCGGATCCAGTTTCCTCCTCTTAAGATCGTACAAAACACATGTGCTGTTTTCTCCCAAGGAGCTGTAGGGAGCCACCTTAAGCCCTATGACAGATTTGACAACAGCTGCAGCAAGATTAATGGTTTAACTACATTAGTATCCCTATTGGTACTAAGTGGTTTTTCGTACATTTGCTCTTCCACAGAGGTACTACAGGATATTTACCCACAGGGAATGCTATACTTTAAACAATAAAAGGATGTGATTCTGTTCTCTCCTGTACCAAATTTTCACTCATTATTCCCAATGAATTTATTGAGATTGCTCATCATTTAAAGTAGTGCAAACAAAGCAAAAAGAGAATTGAAACTCCAGATCTGAGGAGTAAGAATGTTGAAGTTCAGAGATGGGGAGAGCATCCTCAAATTTCTTCTGCTCCAGAAACTTTTATGGGGTGAAAGCTGATGATCAAACAGTATGAAACAAGCTGAGAACTACAGATCTGATGTCAAGAGAAGCCATATACAGTAAAATGAACTTGCATGGTTAAGAGAAAAGGAAGGAAAAGGAGATGGAGGGATGGGGTTGTCAATGTGAAACCTGCTCTTACCTTGAGCTCCAGTTGTAATTAAAAATGGGGAATGGAGTCTGACTGCGGTGGGAGATGACTGGAAACAAGCAGGATTCACCTTGTCCTGAGGAACAAGAAAATAACCAAAATTAAGTCACTAATTAATCCACTAACTTCCTGTACAGTCCTGAAATGCAATTATAACCATTTCTTTCAGGATTATTATTATTTCTTTCATTAAATCTTTGTTTAACAATTTCTCTAAGTGTAAGAGAGAAGCTCTGCTTGCAGAGCTATGTTGAAAGAGCTCATATTTGGTCTGTCAGCCTTTGCCAGCTGAGTTGAACTGCAGAGATAGAGCTTTCCCTAACGCTGCTGTCACCTTTCTCCTCTGCAAGAATAATAACAGAGGGACTAAAACCTGTCAGAAGACTCCTCACGGCAATAGCTGCATCAGCTGCCTTTGTCTTCAAACCATCCCAAAGGTATTTAGCTCCCAAGGGGGATTCACAATCCAGACTTTTCTGGGCGGGAAAGGGAAAAGGGTGAGGGGAATCCTTCAGGAATTTGGCCACATCTGCTGCTCCAAATTTACTGCCTCACATCTGAAAAAGTCCATGTAAGGCAAAAGAGAGCCTTAACTAAAAACTGTTCACCAGGCATATCTTAAAGGGTAGATACTTACATAGACACAGTTATAACCACATCTTAACAGTCCAAAAGCAAAGTGATATCAGCTTCTGCATTATCAGCTCCATGTTTAATAGGATGAAAGTAAAGGAGTTTAGAAGCATGGAGGCTATTGGTACTAAAGTCAACAAGCAAGAGTGTTATGGAATGAGCTTCCGGTTACAACCCATTTTTGGGCAAATTCAGGTTTGTGCCCTGAAAAATGTTTTTAAACTAGCCAGAAAGAGTAAATTGGGGTTTTAATAAAGGATTGCTGTAACTTAGAAATATATGAGTAGCTCTACTGACAATAATTCCTGATTTCTGAAGCTATTGTTCATTAAAAATATGAAGAGATTTCAAGTTCAAAGGTTACGCTTAAATTGCCAGCAACATAATGAGAATCTTTAAAGCCCTGGCTTGGAAGGTGAAGCGGGGAAACAGTGAGATGTTCCTTAAACATGAAGTGGAAGGGTTTGTGAAAATGTGGTTTGGGTGGAAAAAGCCAAACTTTTACAATGAGTGTACAGAGCCTTGTGTTGGAAAACAGGGGCCTCTGAATCTGCAAGCATCATCACAGTGCAACAGAGGTTCACAGAACATGAGGAGTTAAATCTTCCTTTCCGTTGACAGGACTATTTTTTTCCTCCTGCTCTGAGAAATAACCTGGTTAAGACTCCTTGGAACAGCTGTTTTCTACCATCCTCGTCATCTGTTTTTCAAATTACCCAGATACTAAGTGATTATTTCTTATGATTTCAGCCTGAGAGCATCTGGAATTCTTGAAAACTCCCATCACTTCAGGTTTCCCTTCCACCTCCTTTACATCCTGTCTTCCACTCTTTGGTCTCAAAATTAATTTTCCCCTAACATGCTGATGTTCTTGAACTTAGAGATCTGGCAGGTTCTCAGCTCATGAGGTATAGGCATGTATGCAGAGGAAATGGTATTAACTATTATTCGTTAATCCTGACTATTCAAAATCTTGTCTTTGTCGTAATAATTCCAAGAGAAAGGACTGAGTTGATCATAAAATGGCTGCTGTTGTATGATAATTCCTCAGGTCTTTAGGGAACACAAACTATGTGACCAGAGCTCAGCCTTCTGCTGAAATGAAGAAATTGCTCTCCTTCCCATTCTATTCAGTAGATCTCGATCACAGTGGTCAAATCCACGAGCTTGCTACCTAACTCAAAGTGTATTCCAAAGGTGAGTCAGTGTCTAAGATGCAGACCACAGGCCTGAAGAGCTCAGTGGTGGAACATTGACCAATAAACTTATGACCTGAAAGTTAACATCAAACAGCAGGATGGGCAGCGTGAGTGTGGCTGTGAAGGAGTAGAAGGAAAGAATGGCTGCATACATTAAAGAAATGAGACACGATATCCTCGTTCACAGCACGACACACTCTACAGATCCATGACAACGTGGCACCTCGAGTTTAAATGAATCAAATGTATTTTGCTAGGTTTGTAACAAGATATTGCATATCCTGCAATTTGCCACCTGCTGCCCACGTTATTCAATGTGCATCCTAAATCAGGTATCCTTCACTATAATTGCACTTGGTCTGCCAATTATCAAACACACCTCTGCTTCCCTTGAACCAACCTAAACTGATTCATCAGGGGTCAGCGCTGCGTTCTCCTCTGCAGCGCAGCAATAAGACAGGACTTGTGATTTCTTATTTGGTTTCCTTATACAAATTCCTCGATGGAATACACCAGGGACTCAAAATGAGTTTTATTTGTCTGCCTTCAGGTCATTTGTGGTGATTGCATACTCTTTGTAAAGGTTACGACTGTCAGCACCACGTTGCTTTGATGTAGCAGTATTCCGCTAACTGCTAACTCACAGATGCTTGCAGTCTGTCCCGCTGTCACAACATCTCATCCTCATGATATCACCACAGCTTAGAGGGACCTTATCTTGCAAGTCTTTCTCCCTATGAATAAACAGTGATGGATTTTGTGGCCTGGTTTGTTCCCTGAAATGTGGAGTAGAGGGATGCATGATCTCCACCTGGGCAAGCCACACAGCAGCCTCAGTGTTGGGCCCTGTTCCACATGTGTGAGAGTGATGAGTTGTTGGTCTGCTGAGAAACTGGGTGCTTTTGAATCTACCTGTCTGAGCACAACTGAGAGAAATGTGAGTGATGTGCAGGGTCTGGGAGTGCTGAGTTATCTCACTCACTCTGACACGAAAGTCTTCACACTGTGGCCCATAAAGTTAACCCTGCTCATAGCCATCAGTGACAGATAATCCAGGCAAAAAGCTATACTAATGCAGCTACACATCTTTTAGGGTCTGAGGTGGGATCTCTATGTGCCAGGTGTGCTTGAAATTAGATTTAGCACCTGTAGCACATCATTGCAGACAGCCCTTAATGAAAACGCCCTGGGTCAGCAGTCAGAGGATGATCTTTGACCTAAGACCACTATGGTCTACAGGCTCATAAACAGCTAAAATGAAACCAGAGCAGTGTCCAGTAAGAATCACAGGCTGGAGAAGGACCTTTAGAAGCATTCATCTGTCTGATTGATCTGGATTTGACTGTGCTGAGCTTGGGAAATAAACTCAGGACTGAAGCTGTGCTACCTGACACCATTGCTGCTGAATTGGCACCACTGAGGTCAGTGAATGATGGGTTGAATTTTTGTCCCACCTGGATTTTGAACACTCAGCAGCTTCCAGACACCAACGCCCTTCCTCACAAGCACATCCATCATGACTGGCATTGATAGATTAGCCAAGGAGTGACTGGACATGAACTAATGAGCACCATTCAGCTAAGGCAGGCGCATACTAAAAGGACAGCATAATGGAAGCTTTCATTCCACAGGATGCATCTGCACTGGAGACCTTGTCCGGCCATAGCTTTGCAAACCCACAAACCCCTCTAGTCTGTTCGGGATGCAGAACATTGTACAGATTCTGAAAGCCACTAAGTGAACGTAACGTCCTTCCCCATGGAGCCAAACTAGCACAGCAGCTTCTGTGGAGGTGTCCAAACCCACCACACCTGCTGGGATAGGATCAGGGTATGCCAGAAATGGTAGTAAAATATCTGATAATGTTGACACCAGGACCATGGCTGGGTGGAAGCTGTGATCTTCTTCTGAAAGACAGTTTAAGGTGAAGAGACAAGTGGATAGAGACAATTTCCAGGATCACAGGGGAAAATGAGACTCATAGAACACCCAACAGCCTCTCAAGACTAAGAGCAGACCTGTAGCCTAAAGTAGCTATAGCCTAAAGTAGACCCTATAGCCTAAAGCAGCCATTTCCCTGCAGCTATGTCTTAGGATTGAGCTCGCAGTTACAATTCTCAGCCCTGCCTCACTCCTCCTTCTTTGTTCCATCTTCTTGTCCTCTCTTCAAGGTCTAAATTCATGGATCAACAATCTTCACATGCTATGGTAGAAATGACCCTGTTTAAAATGTCTCTGATCGAGGATTACCCAGAAACCTCAGAAGCTGAGAGTTTTATCTGTGAAAGGCAAAAGTTTTCCCTCTTCACAACATGCTTTCCAGTATATTTTACTTAACACCCTGGAGTCTGCAACAACTGTTTCTCATTTGTAGCATCGTCTTTTCCATATGACACGTGTGACCAAAACCCTGATGTAAATACTGTGGCATTGCATATCTTTATGAGTACACACTGTCACATTCTCTTTTGAAGATAACTGGCAGCATACTGGATGCAAAGAACAGCTGGAAGTAAGGGAGCAAGAAGGAGATCAGATGAAACTGTGAGTAAATACCATAGTGATGGTGTAGTGTGGGCGTTAGCTGAGAGATTCCTAGAAAACAGCACTAAACTAATGGCCCCTTGGCTTTAAAAATTATTTACTTGTTCTTCTAAACCCAAAGATCAATTGGCAGAGAGTTACTAGGGATGAATTAGGATATAGCCAATGCAGATTTGATGGTTGTTTTTTTGTCAGAAAGGTACATTTCACACCCATCAAATATTTATTTAATTAATACCCAGCTTTAGGAATCCACCACAGGGTTTCTCTTGCCAGAGTTTCTGTCTGGGAGAGGCAGCTCCATAGAGAACATTGCAGCACAGATCTTCCTCAGAGCAACATCTGGCAATAGAATGGTAATTGATGTTGTATAAAAAAAATAGATCATCTGTATGCTATTTCCCACCCTCCTCAGGAGGGAACCTTTTAATTGGCTGATAATATCCCCCCTTCAGTCTGTCCTCTGAGAGGATTATATAAATCAGGCATCTAAAAGGACAAGGGATTCCCAGGAGAGAATCCGTAAAGAACAGAGAGTTTATGGCACAGCCATCCTACTGCCTCCCCCCAAGATACACAGAGGTCCAAATCCTCATCTTGCATGGTCACAGAGTTCCTGTTGAACAAAAACTCCCACTAATGAATATTTGCTTCTATCTCACCAGGAAAATCCCATTGAGTGTCTCCATCCAAACCCCAGTTC